ATATGTAAATTGGAAAAAAACAATGCCTCATAAAAGCTTCAAAGAATAAATTCAGTAATTTATTATAAAAATCTTTGACATGATCTCTGATTAGTGAACGTGTACTGCAAACATTGTGAAGGAGGATAGAAGTAGGGGTCCATTTTGGCTGTCCTTCCTGGACAGAAAGCCACAGGACTTACAAACAACCCTAATAGTCAGGCCTTTCTCCAGGCTAAGCAGTAGGAAAGTATCTAATGCTCTACCTCAGACAAGACCAAACTGACAGCAGCATGAAGGCAGTAAAGTCATATTAACAACACGTTTTAAAGACCAACAATAATAAGCAAATAGTGATTTTTGTCAATGTACACAAACATTAGTATAATTTAAATATTGTCTAAATAGCTCCTATGTCTAAGTTTTATTATTCGTGAAAAAAGTTAGAAGAGACAAGGAATGAAAAGGGAAAAAAGTACATCCGGTGGAACCCTAAATGGTAGCAAAGTAGAGAATAGGTAAGACTGAACTTACCTTAGGCAAGCCTCCTATGGACTTGTCTAGTAGACTACAATCAATGTGAAATGCCCTCATGAGACCTTCCCACGATGGATGCCAAAGTAGGAGTCATGAAATAGTCTATAAAGCTGACCTAGCACTTTGGCTCAGTGAGGCTTGAGAAACATGAATAAGACAGAACACAAACAATTAGCACATATAAATGTCTCCCTTCCAGCCTAGACTAACGAGGTTCCAATTAACTAGGAGTCTCTAACATACCGTTCATTCACTAAACTCTGCAGTGTACCAAAGAATGCAAGCTGAGGAAAACACAGCACCATGTCCAGCCTTGAAGAAATGAAGTCAGCACACACAAAAAAGTGCAATTACAGAAATGTGAATATTAGTTATGCAAGAAGAACAAAGAAGGCTTTAGGGAATGCATGGGCTGAATATATTATATATTAAACATCAGAAAACTAGAAAGGAGGGAGAAGGAAAGAGCTATAGGTAGAGGATAGAGAGAGGGAGTGGACAGAGGCTGGGCAGGGGATAACAAAGAGGAACCGGCTAAGGCAGAAGCAGCTGAAATGGTCAGAACAGCAGGCTCAAAACTGGATTGCAAAAAGCTTTCCTTGGTAACAGCATTAGAAATCTGAACTTTATTCTGTATAAACTAAAAGTTTCTCAATGACAGGACATTAGTCTTACCCAATGATCAGAAAGAATATGGAGGAAAGATAAAAAATGGTTTTTGGTGGACACAGAAAAGCTACTAGACTGAACTATGGAAACACGCAGTTTATCATACAGGAATGATTACATAAACTCTCATCCACCCAACTTACAGTAGAGCTAAATTATATTTTAAGAAAAAGTATATACACATTTTATTTCATCAACTTATTCTCATGCATTTAGTTAGAAAAGAAAAAACAATCTAACCTCCTAGTACTAAAATGCTCTTGTTTCGCAGAGTAAATGTGAGGTAGGAACAATAAAGCTGTGTTCCCTGAATCAGCCTCAGCTCCCTGGTGCCTCTCACAACATGAGTGTCATAATTCTAAAGTTAAAAATAAGCGTATTTTAACATAACACAGCTCCTACTCATTAGTAAACCACTTTATCCAGTGCTCAGAGAAAACTCATCTATTTAAGCACTAGAGGAAAAACTGGCTATGCTCTACTTGATGGAAGACAATATTCTACTGTAATTTATGTGCTATGTAAGAAACTGCTGAGAGGTATTGTGGTTCAATTTTTGCTTCCCACAAAGTTTAGAACCTATTCCTTGCTTACTGTATGTTCTTTCTCATCTTAATTATATTAAGTGTACTAGAGGTAGCAAAACAGGGATTTCATCCAAAATAATTATTTGAAGGTAGAAATCTGCCTAATTAGAAATACTTCAAGGAGCTAAATCAGGAAAACAAAAACAAAATCTTTCAGCACTGCAGGGCTCGAAGGAACCTTTCTTCTGCAAAACTTAGGTATGCAATGGGTTAACAGATGAGATGGAAGGCACTGCAGAAGGCCTTGGGACAGTCTTTTCACTTTCCCACAAGCCATTAAAATTAAAATTCTGACAACATTTGCTAAAATGTCGTCTATACAAAACAAATATTTCCTGAAAAGTAAACTAACATAATTTAGAGGGTGTAAATATTCTTACTTTTAAAGTACAAGTGTGTGTTTATTTGGTACAATTGAAAAAAAAGTCCTAAGTCATACATGTACTTATTACCTGACATCTGCTGAGCATCTACTATGTGACAGGACTATAGGAGACACTGGGGTACAAAGTGAGACCCTGTACCAAATACATAAAAAGAAAAAAGAAAAAAAAAAAACCCTACCTGAGTGAAATAACCTGGGCCTATCAGTTAAAAATTAAAGCTGTGCTCTCCCAATTAATTTATTCATCAAAACAAAACATACTGCTTATTTACAGGCCTCATTTCAAAATCAACAAGTGGCCTAAAATGGTGAACCATTTCAGAAAGCTCAAATCAAACAAATACAAACAAATTTTCCCGAATCTCTAAATGGGGCTGTATGTGCCATGAAAACCCAAGACTGAATAGCAGTGAATCAGAAGTACATACAATCATTTCAGACATGGGAAATAACTAACCACGACAGGAGTATGTGAAATACGAACAGAAGACCAGAGAAAAATCAGAACAAGAGCAGGGCTATAACTACTGTGGCCTTTCAGGTCTGTGGAATATTATGCCATGCATCACAGTAAAAGATTTATGACATGAACTAATTTCTTACTGAAGCATATGGGAAATTTCAATGAGAATATTTGCATTTCACTATAATGATAAAGTGCTCCTTTAAAAACAAGCAAACAAAGAAACCCAGCACATCAGAACACTACCTCACAGTTGTTATGTAGTGGCTAATCATTCTCCTCAGGACCATTTTTAGGATAAGACAGAAGTTATAATGATTTTGTATAATGCTACATGAACTTGAAAATGTTCTATAATGTATAGAAATGCAAGCTATGTTTTGAAATTCTAGTTTCAAAATTAAAACTATACCTAATGATTTTAAATTTCAAACTGCTATTTCATAACAATTTAGTGTTTTCTAATTGAAATTTTCCTATAATTGTATTTTTGTACTCAATTCCAAGCAAGAGTTAAATGATGCAACCACCAACAACAGAACATTTACCACCTAGGTAAAAAGCAAAACACAATCTTTTGTACTGATTTCTACTTGTTAAATAATAATTTAATTCTCCAACTGTTTAAATCTCCAATTCACAATCAAGAACAATACGTCATTGAACAGAAATTTAGACAAGCAATCATTTGAAACAGAAATAAGCCTTTAAAGAAAATTCTTTAGGGCTGGAGAGATAGTTCAGCGGCATAAGCGCCTGCCTGGCAAGTGCAAGGTCCTGCATTCAATTCTTGGTGCCGAAAAAAAAAAAAAAAAAAAAGAAAGAAAGAAAGAAAAAAAGAAAGAAAGAAAGAAATTCTTTAGAAGCCATTTATCATTACCTTCTATTTCTAAAAAGATCCTTCAAATCTTAAGCCACTGAAATACAGCCTAAGGACTGATTCATAGATCAGATAGCAATTTACTCACAGAATAAAAACTATTGCCAAACCATGCATAGTGGTTCTCTGGAGGAACAGAGAGGACCCAGGTGTAACAGCAGTCAGGGAACAAAGGACTAACCACAGAGACCCAGGACCAACTAACAAATGACCAAATGTATACCTGTATCTTCAATACAACAAATTGAGCTCTTTCTCAGACTTAATTTAATGTGATTTTGAAAATAGAAATATTATCTAGCTGCCCTAACTTCCAGATGAGATACAGGAATTAAATTATAGTTTGTCAATTTCTCAGGCCAAAATGACCATAGATGTTTCCTGAGTCATGCGCTGCTTCCTTTCCACTCCCGTAACATTTTATTCACATCTCTATTTTTACTGCACAAATATGAATCTTGCAAAGAAGGTATTATCAGCACCATGCCACAGATGGGAAAGCTTGCTTACTATGGTGCCGTGATTTGCCCTAAATCACCACTGAAGCCACATTTCAAACTTATCTCTCACACAAAGCTCTTTCCACACCTACTCTACCTCACAGCACTAAATGAGTCGAACCTCAGAAACTAATTAACTGCAATTTCATGCTAGCACCATGTTGGTTAAGAGCTAAAACTAATTTCTCACAGATAAACCAAATGTAAAGGAGGGATCTGGGTGGAGGAGGAGGGTCAGGGTGCTGCCTAGTATCTGAAGTGGGCAACTGGCAATTTCCTCCTTCATTCCTCTTCATGGATGGCAGAACCCATCTCCCTACTCAGAAACTGACAATGCCAACCTGCCCATTCTTCCAGCTACCTGCAGCATGGACACGGGCAACTGGCCTAGGTTCTGCCACTATGCCATCCCCACCAAGGGCTCTATAAGAACAGCAGCAGTACGAAGTCGGAACAGCAATGTCTGAGCTCGGATAGCAGGAGGAAGCAGTGACACTAAGGCTCTACAGACAGCAATGGCAGATAAGCAGGTGCAGCCACAGTACTTGTCTCCGTACTGGTTCATGTTACCATTCTAGCCACGTGTTTTCTGCTCTCTAGTCTTTCCTCTTCCTTTACAAGGCCATTGCCTTCGCCTTCCCAAGAATTTGGAGAATTATCAACAGGCTTTCCATAGTCCGTCTTATTCCTCAATCAGTCAAAATTGCCCTGTACTGCTGCAGATAAACTCCATAAGGCATTTAATAAATAACATTAAACAAATACACTTTGTCAAATTTTTTTATCTCAGTATTGAATTTTCTTTTATATAATTTTTCATTATGGCCTTCAGTGGCATTTACTTTACACCTGGTAGCATTCTCCCAACAACAATAAGAAAAAAGACTTCAAATCAAGTTTCTTCACCTTTCCAAAAGCAACACAAACAAATACAGTAATAGTTATCCAATGATTATCTTACTGAATGAAATTCAAAATAAAACTTTATTAAGATTCTTACCTGTCAGGAATACCCAGCCTCTTGACACTTCTATAAACAGAAAGAGTATTTGCAACATGTCGATAATTAAACCAGAATCGGGATGTACAAACCTACAGTATTAAAACAAAAATATGATTTTTATAAGCAAAAATACTCCATGGAGTTAGAAAATTATTTCCTTTAAATATGACACAAAAATTCTTCCAGAATTTCAACCTTGAAAGAGCAAAGAACATAACTATCAATAAAACCAAGATTTATAAAGAAGCCTTCACAACTATTATTACAAAAGACTACCTTCATAAAAAAATATTTGGAGGAATTTAATCAAACACTGAACCAGTTTAGTTATCCTGAACTTCTGATTCTATAATGCTCCTATTTCTAAAAGATTATATTCTTTAAATGTATGCAATGTGTTAATTATTGAAACTGTCCTACAAAAACACAAATAAAAAATACTTATAGATAAAAAAAATTTGAGAATTAAAAAAAAAAGATTATATTCTTTAGACTCAAAGACAATGCCCATAATCTCTTTACAGAATACAGGAGAAAACTAGTCACTCTGAGTTACAGAACATCCACTTCACTCTTATTAGTTGTGAGAAATGTAGGACACAGACTAAAGCATAACTTGCAAAATAGCTTTATATGTACATAAAAGTATACTATAAAGTTATTGAACTGACCAGAAAACTAGAAATAAGTCAACCAAATTTTATACTTAAAAAAAAAATTGCTAAAAGTATCAAAGGCATTTGGAAAATCTAACCTTTGCTTGAAAGTCGATCTCCCAGGAAACCCTTAGGTAAACAAAACTAGGGTCAGTTGGGGGCAGGCCCACCAGGCACAGTCCCACATTGACAACATGCCTGTACTCCAGCAGTATGACAGTTTTGAGGTAGTACAAATGTCCTTGCCCCAGCTGAATAAAAAGGAACTACATGATTTTTTTTTTTTAAGTAAAGTGAATTTTCATCCTAGACTCCAACAAGGAAAAGGCTAAAATATTTGGCCACATAAAATTATGAAACTTCATATGTCAAAAAAAGATAGCTCAGCAGATTAAAGTGCCTGCTCAGATAGACGCAGGGACCAGGGTTCGATCCCCTGGTATGCAGTGCCAGCCCCACCCCCAGGGTGCATTGAGACTGCGACTGAGACTGGGCGTGGTGGCACGCAGCTATAATCCCAGCACTTGGGAGGCTGAAAACAGGAGGATCACTACGAGTCTGATCTGTGTAGTGAGATCCTGTAGATCCTGTACTAAAAGAAAGAAAGAAAGAAAGAAAGAAAGAAAGAAAGAAAGCAAGCAAGCAAGCAAGCATAAGTCCCAATAAAGGAAAAACAAAAAAGCAAAAGGTCTAATTCCTTAATTATAACCTAAGAGGGGAAAAAGACTAAGTTTAAATGAGGAAAAGATAAGTATATCATAACAAAAGTGCCAAAAATAGACAACAAAGCCAGGTGTGGTAGTACACACCTATCATCTAAGCACTTTGGGAGGCTGAGGCAAGAAGTCACAAGCTGAAGCTCAGCATGGGCAACTTAGCAACATCCTGTAAAATAAAATTAAATTAAAAAATAGCACTATGAAGCTCTTAAAATTGCTCACTCAACCTCACCTATACTGTTAAAACTCCCTATCAAATTGATGACTACAGAAGGTCTGACAAGTCACCATACTGTCAAGGTTATAGGGAAATAAGTACAGTACCCATAGCTTACTGACAAAAATGTAAATGATAACCCTTCCAAGAGAATAATTTGCAATACATATCAAGTTTGAAGAAATAGCTGCCTTTTGTACTTACCTCAAACAAGTATGCAAAAATATGTGCTCTAGGGTTTTCACTGTAACATTGCCTGAAATAGCAAAAATGAAAACCAAAAAGCTAGAAACCAAATCACTGCCAGAAAAATCTAGTAAAAAATTTACATGTTCCCTAACTGGAAACAGAAAAGGCATAAAATAATTTCTACCTGAATTAATCATATAGAAACCGTCAGTGTATTTTCAAAGTTCTTTCTGCATGTAATAAAATCTTTTTGCCTCTATTATGTTACTAAGAAGCATACACCTAACAAAATGACCTCATTTTCACAAGCAACTTATTATACCAACCAGTAAGATGAGAAAAATATAAGCTACCAGGAAATACCAATTTAATATAAATCATCAAATATTCATTTAGTGTAGTTTTTAAAATGCAAATTGTAAAAGGGGTATATGACACGGTCCATTAGTCTTTCGAGAGAAAGGAAAGAGTAGACACAGACATGAACGCACTCACTGGAAATGTCTGAGAGGATATACAAGATACTGATAATAAAAATTATTCTCAGACCATAAAAATGAGGGCCTAAGTAGAAGGAATAATTTTGCAGTTGATTCCTTTCCTTGCTGCAATTTTGCTATCCTTTTGCTATCCACCCATAAATATGGATTACCTTTATCATTTTTATTAAACACAGCAAAAATATTTATACAAAATGGTTAACAATCAAAATGGAACTCGATTTTCCTTCTGCCTCCTACTGTTGGCAAGTTCCTTGGAGAGTAAAGGAGCATTTCACTGACTTCTAGTCATCTCGTTAATTTGACTAAATCAAATTAATTCAAACTGGGGGGGACTATTAAAAATCTAAATTGCCTAACACTGAAAGAATGAAATTTTTAGTAATTCTAATTAGACCCTGTCAAATTTCCTATTTTTTCATTTAAAAGGCACAGTTTATTTAAATCTCATGGTATAATGCCAAGTCTAATGCAAAAATTCTGGGAAAAATATAAAACCTGCAATTGTCCTGAAACTTCGGTAAGAGCCCTCATCACCCTGTTTTTCATATGGAATCCGAGTTACTGAAGTGGAAAGGGACTTGGTGAGAGGCTTCCAGATAGAGTGAGCTTTGAAAATGTTTGCAGCATAAGCTAACAGAGCCTTGGTTGTATAACAGGAGCCCAACTGGCAGTGGCACACGGGCCGTTATTCTTTCCTCTAAGAACTCACAGACTATCACAGGAGAGCCCTGAGCTTCCAGTACAGAACGTTTACCCTTCAAGTTACTGATAATTTTCCTCATGCTTAATCAGTCACTGAAAATCTCTCTCTTAATCTCAAGCAGCTTTTGTGCAATTCCTTCATAAACTCTCTTGTGAGAGTCAGCATCTAGAAGTTATCCTCTAGAAGACAAGAAAAAGAGCCATGAATCTATTTTATGCTGTTCCACTTAAACTCAATACAACATGTACTGCAACTGTCACTACGCTCCATGCTTTTAGTAACCTCTATATAACTACACACTTTTAGGAAACAACACTAAGTTAACTAAGAACGTTTCAAATATCCTGATAACTGGGGATATAGCTCAGTGGCATAATCAGCTGCCTGGCAAGTGCAAGGTCCCAGGTTCAATCTCCAGTATCAGAAAAAAAATAAAATAAAATTTTGACAATCTACCTGTAGTTTTAATAAAGTTCATTATGATCTTATGTTTGTCCTGCACTCCTTTTAGTTGAATTTCTCTATCCTCTTTATTTACTTGCTCCCTATACTCTTATGAGTCATGCTTCTGAGTTTTCTTCCTTTTCCAGCAGCTTTGAAACAGAGCATACTGTTTTCTTTCTTTTTATAAATATGAGCTTCTTTCCTGGCTCTTTGACCTTCCACTTTGGTTCTTTATTTCTTCTTCCTCTTGACCCTTACTATCACTTGCACATGATCCCTAAATTCCACGTGTTGAAAACTTACTCCCCAAGTGCAAACACTCATGATACTGGGGGTAGGACCAGAAAGGAATCAGGAACAGATCAGGTCATCAGGGCAGAGCCACAGGTGGCATTTATAAGAAAAAGAAGCGTGAACTGCGCTCACAGGTGTGCTGGGCCTCAACAAGGATACCCTCCAGAGCTCAGGGGAACAAGAAGGCCACCCTCAGATGCCTAAGAGATGAACAGAAATGCTCTCGGACTGCATCTCCAGAAATGTGAGCCAAATGAACCTCTAGTCTTTGTAAAGCACCAGGCTTAGGTAACACGTTGACAGTCACAGAAAACACAGTAAGACAACCAACTCTTTTACATGTTTTTTCATTGAGTTGAACTTTAATTATATCTTTCAATGATGTAAATATCATTAACTAAAACCCTAATCAAGAATCTATCATTCAAATATAAGAAATGTAAAGTTGATCATATGTATTCTATTTGCAGAATGAAAATAAAACTGTGTGAATCTAGACAAATTAAAGATGTTAACTCATGCCAAGGGAGAAAAAGCAAAAAAAAAAAAAAAAAAAAAAGCAATAAGCTAATAAGCAAATCTTAGGATCATAACAATGTAAATTCAAATAAATTTAATTTGTTGCCCAGAAGCTATGAAAAATTAATAATACATAGCTGACTTGGATTTAGAAAAAGAAAGTCTTTCTGGACGGTGACAAAGTTCTACAACTTCATATTTTTATGTGTAGGAATTTTTATATCGAAAAGAAAATCAGTCAAGTAATCTAAGTGTAATTTTCAACACAGTTGTGACTAAAATAATAAAAAGTTTAGATTCCAAATGTTCACAAACTACAGATTATGACACATTCATAATACAGAAAATACGGTGTGTGGAAAATATTATATACCTGCAAAACTACCAGTAAGCAAAGAATCTCAAGATAGCCTGCAGCACTGCAAAACAGCAGGTACAATGATCTCAGGTGAATAAAAACATGTATCTAACTTCATAACTTTCTTCTTTATATGAAGAGAGATACTACTCACCAAAGTATGGACCCCAGAACGAGGGACTTTAAGACATTTACCTCTATGTAAAAAAAAATTTAATTGAAATTCACATATAATTGGTTTGTCTTCTTTTAAAACTTTCTGTAGAATCTGAATTTCCTACAACTATAACTTATTATTTTTATAGACAGAAAAACAATTATAACAGTAAGTCAGCCTAAATAGAGAGTATTTGTAAATTAGTATTATCAGTAAGATATATAATGACTCACTGGCAGAATTAAATAATTCTGCATTTTATAACATGCTTTAACAATAGTATGCCTAATTTATTGTTACATTTACTTATAAGTTTTATTCTGTTTTGCTTTGGTTTGGTTTGATTTGGTTTTGATACAGGGTCTATATAGTCCAGATACACAGCCCAGGCTAGCCTCAAACTCAGCTGTCATCCTGTCCCAGCCTCACAAGTGCTGGGATTACAAGTGTGCACCACCACACAAGGCTCTTATGTTTATAGATAACCACTTGACAGACAAATGAAGGAAAAGAAATATTATTAAAATCTTATTCTTGATGTGGTCAATTTAAAATATAGCCATGTGTTTTTCTGTTAAAAATATAAGAAAAAAAAATTTATTTTCAAATATCTGATTGACATAAAAATTTCCTGATACGTACTGAATGTGAACAGCAAGCTATATCCTTGTAGAATACACTTACCAAAACAGCCCAGTTGTTTGTATGGCCACTTCTAAAAAATTGTTCTGCTTGATCCTGTCAACCAAATAAAAGCAAAATGATTAAGAAAAAGCCACAATTTTCCAAAATAAAGAACACTATAGATTTACATAAATTAAGACTCATATAACTTTATGAAGATACTAGTATTTGACCTTACGAACATATAATTAAACTGGAAACCAGTTTAACCTACAATATTATTGGGGGACGGGGGGATTCTATATTAGGGAAAAATAAAATACCCCTTAACTAGAAAATCAGAGATATGTCTCTCTCTTACAAAAGCCCATGTTTAAACAGCACAACCCTAATTACAGCATGGTACAGTTCTTGCTCAGTGGACGGCAGTTGCCGAGCACGCACCAGGCTATGGATGGGGCCAGCTGGGGAAGGAAGGGTCCATTTACTTAAGACTCTCTCTCTGTGCAAAATGAAAGCAATGCCAGCCCTATATCAGTGTCATTTTACAGGACTAAAAAGTCATGTATCCAACAGCTTCAGCTTTAAAAAGTTATTAAGCATCATACAATGGAAGCAAATATCACATTTCACTATTTCCCACACCCTGAAAACTATGGAGGAAGTAAAAAGTGTGCTCAACAGAGGAAATAGGACATCTGTTTAAAAGTTTAACAGGCCATCATTTAAAACCATAATGTTCCCCACCATTTTCTTCACCATGATTCATTTGCTCCATCATTTTTATCATCCTCTTATAGATTAGCAACTTTTTTTATGATAGGTATCATCCCTTCCCATGGGATATTCGCTTCAGTAGGACCGAGCCATGCACCCAATTACAGTGACTAATGTACTCCGTCTGGCATGCAGTGCATTTTGAGTGTTTTTTAATGAATGAATCCATGGCCACATGTCTAAATTGGCAGTGGACAAAGCAAGAGTATCTCCTGGAAAACTGAAACCACACAGTTGATGGTTCCAGATGGTTTCTGAACCACTTTGATGGTATTAAGCAAGGGTTGTAACATAAAGCTGTAAATTTCACAATTTCCTTCCAGAGTGCACTTCCTTAATTCTTCAAGCAATTACTCTCTGCAATGAGAAAGTAAGATGAAAACACTTATACCAAGAATTTCTCAGAATATTTCTCTTTTTGTGAAATATTATCAGAAAGCCAGTTTTTAATCCCTGTGAGAAAGCCAGTTTTTAGCCCTGTTTTGGTTGCCTGTGTCAACCAAAACAATCCCTGAATTTCTCAAAGAAGTCTTTTGAATCTATTGTTTAATAATCAGTGCTGCTAGTGTTGTAAAATCTTTGCAATTATGCTAACTTGCTCTTAATATTGGTCTTAATAGTAAACATTAACAATCAGACAAATGTGCTGAAACAACCATAAAAACCAGAGTTTTGTTTTTACTGGACAATATTATTGAGGATCTGCTGGTTTTCTAACATTTTCTCTCAAATGCACCCATGTCTTCCACGTATGCTTCCCATTTTCAATTCACTCTTAAAATTGTGAATAACTTATTTTGTGCTATGATTCCCTGCATAAAAATATTTACACCAGTATTGGGCTGGCCAAATAGCTCAGCGGATTAAAGCGCCTGCAAGCAGGAGCAGGGGTCAGGGGTTTGATCCCCAGGCCTACCATACTGGCCCTGCCCCCGGGGTACGCAGAGAGGGCAACTGAGACTGGGTGCAGGGGCGCACGCCAGTAATCCCAGCTCTTAGGAGGCTATAAACAGGCGGGTCGCTATGAGTCTGATCTAGTAGTGAGACCCAGAGCACCCTGTAGACCCTTCCCTAAAATTAAAAAAAAATTATACAAGTATTTCATTTTCCTGTTAAAATTTTATTAAGTGCCCATTCCTACTATAAGTTGGATGCTTTATTTGAACTCAATATTTCATTTGTAGCATACTGTCATGAGCCTTTTCAGAAATGTTACAGCATGTCTGATTTATCTTTGCCATTTCTAAACATAAAAGGCTCATCATTCAACATCATCTTGAAACCTACTAAACATATTTTTAATTATATATTAAAGCAATAATGGAGGGCCTGCAAGATAGCTCAGGGGACTAAGTGACTGCTTAGGCAAGCACAGGGACCAGGGTTCAACCCCTGGCACCACATGCCACACTGGCCCTGCCCCCAGGCACACTGAGCTGGCCACCAACTCCAGGCATAGTGGCACACGCCTGTAATCCCAGACTGGGGAGGATGAAAACAGGAGGATCACTACAAGTCCTAGCTGCATAGTGTGGCCCTGTACCAAATACATGTTAAAAAATAATAATAAAAATAAATAATGGATCTAAACCACACTGATCTCAGATCTACTAGCAAACAGTATTAATTACTGGAACAGTCAGAATGCCTGGATTCAAATCTGCTTTATTACTCAGTACTAAATAAACTTATGAAAGTTGCTAGCTTCTCTCTACCTCCATTTCCCTATCTATAAAATTGTAATAAATTGTCACAGAATCCAGGAATAATGACTACCTAACAAGTCCATCAGGCTATTATAATCTTTTGGCTAACAAGAAAATTTCAGGAAGTATAAAAAATTCTCCCACTCAATTATGTGTAAATAGTATATTTTGTTTCCCTCCTCTCCAAAAACTCTCAATAGCTGCCTAGATGTCAGAGAAACACACAATAGTAAATAAAGTATTGATGTGGGAATTTGAAGACCTGAGCCAAAATCCAGTGGGGATGTTACTTAGTTCCTTAGGCTTACCTTCTCATGAAGAAAAATGAGACTTAAGGACAGGGATATAGCTCAGTGACACAAGCACCTGCCAGGTAAGTGCAAAGTCCTAAGTTCAATTCCCAGTACTATAAAAAAAAAGACTTGACCCAAATCATCTCTAATGTATTTCTCAGCAAAATTTCTATGTCATTAAGACATCAGTGAAAAATCAGAGATCGTAAGTCTTCTGATTATCTAGGAAAGTTACTGTAAAATTATTCATCTTCATAGTTAATGGAGCATCTATTATGTCAGGTACCACGTACTGTACAATGATATTCAACTACCACTTTCTCTCAAGAATTCCAGTTTAGTAAGACAAATATGCAAACACATAATAGTACCACATAAAACTCATTAATTCATCATATTCATTGGATATCACCAGGCAGTCACTGCCCTAATTGTTCAGGATACTAAGATAGGCAAATATAGTCATAATACTTGCCTTCAAAGAGGTTAGTAGTGGGTTGACATATATTAAGCCAATAACAGAAATTATAAATCTTGTAATAGAAAATCACCAATTTTTTTTTAAAGTATAGGAGGACCCGAGTAGGATATTTTCCCGGAAGAACTGGCATGTGGGTAAGATCCAAAAGATGAAAAAAGATGACAGAGAAAATGTGGGCCAATCTCAGAACAGGGCTTAAAGATTTGTGAAACAAAGTTTAACACAATTTGAAAGGGTGACTGAGAGAACTGGAGACACAGGCAAGGCACTCTGTGAGTCATAATAAACAATTTATTATATATGTTTTGAGGCACATTAAGGTACATACATGGGACATGATCAAGGCTTGCATTTTACAAAGTTACTCTGGCTGCAACTCTGAGAAGAGCTGGGAAAGAAGAATGACTCCAGGCAGACCAGATGGGGAGCTACTGCACCTGAAGTGAGAGATGATGGACTAATAGTCAAAGACTAGATGGGTTACAATAAATGAGTGTTCCACTAAACACCTAAACTACAACAGTAAAGGCAAACACAAGGGATAGGGAAAGCTTCTATAGAGGTTATGTTTTTATTGCATCTAATAAAGACAGAAAAAAACTGGAGGCATAAACCCTGAAAAAAAAAAAACATAGCATATACGTAACTACAAAAAGCAATAATGGTATCCAAATTGAAGTATGTACAAGAATCCACTAGGATAAAGGAAGAACTTCACATTCAATCTTTTTTTTAACTGACAACCTGAGGACCATGAGTCAAATCTCAATGTACCTAAGGTGGTGGGAGGAGGCTTCCAATATAGAATACTAGAAAAGTAGGCAGGAACCAGATCACAATATTCAGACTTCATTCTGTAAGCAACAGAGAAACAGTGGATTCAATCAGAATAACTTGATGAGGCATGTACTTTATAAAGACTAGTATTAATGTCAGGGAATGTGGGACCCTGCAAAAAACAATGTAATTCCACTAGTATAGACAGAAATGATTGAAGCCTGGATTAAACCAGTGGAACTGGAGAGATAAAGGTACGTGTAAGAGTCCAGAGGATACAGTTTTGTGATAACTATGGTAAGGGATGAGTATTGAAACTCCACATGAGAGGCATTCACACTTCTGGTCTAGGAAATGTGGGAGGAAAGGACGTGCTCAGTTTTTCGTGTTTTTTTTTTTCTTTTCTTTTTTTAAAGGTGGGTTAAGCAAAAGATAAAATTTTATCAGTGTATTTTCAAATATCTGTGAACATGCTTTCAAATGTTCTTCAAAACATAACGAATAAATCGTTTATTACGCCTCCCCAGGCACCTTGCCTACATCTCCAATTCTCTCGGTCACCCTCACATCGCCTAGTTGTGCGACTGTTTAAGGCCTCTCAGCCAGCTGCAAGAGCAAAGCCTGAAAATGTGGGTAAAGATCTAAATTACAGCACTGACGAATCACCCGGCACAGGGTAGTGAAAGTATTACAAAGACCCGTAATACGGTCTATGGCCACGTTTGAAATGGGAGGAGTAGGGGGCCTGAAAAAAGGGCTGGATGGGGGCGCCCAGGACTAGCACCGAGCCCGTCCGACCCCCACCGGCGGGCACTCGGCGAGGAGCGAAGCACGGGCTGCAGCCGGGTGACACCGCACCCGCGGGGAAGGACTGCACGGGCGGAGAGCAGTGGCTCAGGCCCCCCTCGGCTCCGAGGACTTGCTTCCTTTAATTAGTCGTTCTAAAGGCAGAATCACACCGAGCCTGTACTGGAGAAACCCTTCCCACAGCACAGCCTGCGTCAGGCTGATGGGTACAGCAGGCTGCCCTCCGCCGCCGTGCCTCTGCCACCTGCCACGACACAGACGTCTTCCCAGGGTTCAGGCGTCACAACAACCTGACTCCTACCTCGATTTGACTAGCTGCCGAGCTGCCGAAAGACAAAAGGAAGAACGCTGCCAGAGTAGTCGCTGAATGGCTGAGAAAATAAAGAACAGCCATGTTTGCCGGCTTCAGACTTCCGGCGCCTGCAGGGGGGGGGGGGCGGAGCGAGTGCCGTAAAGCAGTGCAGCGGGTCGTCGGGTGTTTTCGCTTTGCGACGCCTTCGCGACCTTCTAGAGCCCCGCCCCTCACGAGCTTTTAGAGCTAGGCGCTTGGGTTTGAGTTTCTAGAGTACGCTGGGAAAGGGTAGATGGAAACTGTTGACTTTAAATCCTTGTTGCGTTTTTAATTTTCGTATTGTAAAGTGGTACGTTTAAGAAAAACTGTGGGAAGATAAGGAAAACCTAATCCACGAACTTTAAAAAAGCTATTTCCCTATTTTGCTTTGTGCTGCCTATTCTTTCAACGGCAAGATATGGTGGGAAGAACGAACGTTTTGTCACAAAAGATGATAAATTTTGAGAAGTAAGGATGGATGAGTGCTGCAACTCAAACTTCGGGCCTATTGTCAGAAGGCGTTCAATGTTTGTTTCTTTCATTCTGTAATTTTGGAGATAAAATTTAAAGAATTATGTGCATATGTCGCACCACTCTATGTACCCTCAATTTTAAACTCTGCTTTTAATCTACCATGACATAAATGTTCCCATGCTTAATAATCTTCACAATTTTTAAGATTTAGTGGTAATACGAAATTTTATCCATTATTGATGGCTTCAGCCAAATAGATAATTGCCTTTCTCCTAAGAAAAGTAACGCTTCTAAGTTTTACTATGAAGATAATATTTTGAAGAGTATCCTTGTGTATTTGGTGTATTGCATCCCTGGCGTTGTTTTCTTTGAATAATTTTCCTGGAAAGCAAATCTTGTGTCAAAAGATTTGAAAATATTTCAATAGCTATCCAGATGTAGACTTTCAAAATGTACAAACTTAGTGTCTTCAGAATATGCTCATATTCCATTTTTCCTCTTAAATTCCTTAGCATAAAAATGTTAAATTCAGTATTGTCATATTGGTGGCTATCAATATCTGCTATTTTATTTCTATTTTTAAACTATATGTCTTTGATGTGAATTTTCTATTTCCATCTTCATGTTTTACATAAGAATTTGGGTACATTTAAAAGAAATCATGTTAACCCTTGCCATATATTTTGCTTTTGCTTTTTCCAGTTCCCTTTTTTTTTCCATTTGTTTCTTTTGTTTTTCCCTTTATGAGAGGCTTAATATTAGGTAGTCAAGTTTAGCTTTTCTGTATGTGAAGCCTATAATGCTAATCTACTACCAGAATGACTTTCCTTTATTCATGAGTTTCACAAATACTTATTGAGTATGATAATATACAAGGATATTAGAGCAAGAAATACTTAAAAAGTTCATGTTCTCATGAACTTCACATTCCAGTAAGAAAAACAGACAATATTGGAATAAGGAAAGGGAAAAGGGGGAGGAAAAAATCATGTATGTGTATACACAGGATAGCTAAGATGATTGTACCACTAATTTCTATTGTTTTGTCTTTTTGGTTTTTTTTGAAGCTAGCAGCTAATGCTTAAAATTTTTACTTTGACCAACTTTACATGCTTGTATCTGGTAATCTGAGCAACTACATTGAAGACAATAATATGCATTATAACAACCACTGTTGAATACCTAAAAAAAAAAAAAATGAAAGAAAAGAAAACAAACAATAAAGAAAAAATGAGTGCAATAAATTCACAGAGTGACACAAATAGGGTAAAGTGACAAATTTGTCAACAGGGAAAACTCTGTGTAGAGGCAATGTTTAACCTGAGACCTGAATGACAAAAAAAAGAGTTAGCCAGGCACACAGGAAGGCAACACATTTCAAATTTTTAATTTATTTTCATTATTTTAGTTTCATTTTTAAATTTTACCTTTAACTCTTACTGTCTTGAATATACTTTGGTCTATGCAATAAATTGTTGGCTAAGGAGACGACCCAGGCCTCGGGATCCTGAACAGACCCGGAGCGCAGGCCCGGCGAGTGAGTGAGACGACCCAGGCTGTGGGGTCCTGAACAGACCCAGAGCACAGGCCCAGCGAGTGAGTGAGAGGACCCAGGGCCCTGCGGGATCCTGAACAGACCTAGAGTGCAGGCCCGGCGAAACTCCCTGCAAAGAGGCTAGAGGCAAGACCCACCCAGCTGATTCAGGAGCAGAACATCTTGCCAGAGAGACACAAAGGGTTCAACTCTAACACCTGCAG